TGAATGCTGATAAGCAAATATTATGATATTTGGAGATGACAGATTATGAGTCTGTAAAGATATAAACAGAACAGTTTCTAGGAGCAATTATAATTGCTAAAAGAATACCAAAAATTTTAGATTTAAAGAAGTATGGCCAGAGTTTAACTTGTGCCTGAAATGAGTGAATAGTTGCAGAATTATCAACTTGAACCCAATCTATGCCCATAGAGCATTGAGAGGTACCAAGCTTGATAACAGAACCATCAGTATAAAATGAAATAGTAGTTAGATTATGATTGGAATTAGCAATAGACTGTAAGCTATTAGTAAGTTGGTTAGACTGAAAAATGTAAGATAATTATTATGAGTTGATTATTAGTAAAGAAAAAGGTGGAATATGTAAAAAATGTTGAATAGTTACAGAGTATGCAATATCAAGAAAGTTGGCATGTAGATTAAGAGTTTTGTCAATATTAATATGACAGAATAATTTTGTAGTTAGGTTAGTAAAAATAAAGATAGTGCATTTGTTGGTGATTGTATTAGAATTAAGATAATATCCAGAATATAATATAGCAGTGAAAAGATAAGTAGGATATAGGTTTGAAAACTGGGACTGATATGAGTAGTACTAGTAAGTAATAAGAATAAGGTCTGTAAGGGTATTATACCTTCTGGACTTGCCAATAATTATTTGGTTGTTAAGAACAATAAGTAGCCAAGGTTTGATATTAGAGGTGAAGTAACTAATAGTATAAGAAAAGTAATTTGTTTAAGGTAGATTAAAGTAATTATATAGAGTGCATTGATAAGAATAACTTATTGTAATGTCCTTAAGAGTGGTGAATTATTGAGGTACAACACTTTTGGAAAGCTTATTTAATCTAGGAGAAATATGTTTTCAGTATAATAAATATGAATTATTATATGTAGTAAGTTGGTCAAAAAAGAGTAATTTGTGATATCTAAGTTGTTTTTTAAAATAGAGTATTTGGGATAAGAGAAAATAAGAAATTCAAGAGAAATAGCTTCATTATTTAGAGTAAATAGGATGTTATAAGTTGAATTAGTAGAAAATATCTAGCCAATATGCTTGATAAGCTGAATAATTTTAAAGTTTGTAGTTAAACAGTTGGGACTGTCAATAATAGAATTGAAATGTAAGAAAATATTAGTAAGAGACCAAAAGTTATTTTATAACTGTTGAATTTGGATGTGAATTGAAATGCCTAATAGATTAGGATTATTAAGTCATTTAAAGAGATTAGAAATATGATATTGCAGTTGGATATCCCAGATGTGTTTGATGTTATAAATTTGAGGATATAAAAGGATACTAAAAGGTGTTATATAGCAAAGTTTAGCTTTAAGTTTAACAAGACTGATATGCTGATTAAAGATTTTATTGCAGGTAGGCTGACTAACTACAATGCTTTGAAGATGATATTTGAGAATAGGAATAATAACTGTGTTGATAATATAATAGACATGAGAGTCAGTAATATATTTGGTTTTAGCAATTTGAATAAGTTAAGAGGATTCAACAATAAGTAGTTTTGTTTATTTAGATTGCTTATTGTCTAAGGTAAACCAGCAATCTAAAAATTTAAAAGGTTGTTTAGAAGAATATAGTAAAAGAAGATAATTATTATAGGGAATAGGAATGTAGTGAGATGAAGAGTTATTAGTAACCAAAATAGATTTTGTAAAATTAACTTAAATGTTAGCCATAGTATAAAAAGATTCAGCTATAGATAATATATTAAAAAGTTCAGTTTGTAATGAAGCAACCCAAAGAGTGTCATTCATATATGCCAAGTCAGAATATTGTTTTTATAATAAGTTAAATATTTAGAGTTTAAGATTGGTAGCTCAAGAGGATTGTAGGATATAACCAGGTACTTGTATATATATATATGAGATAAGCAGATTATAATAAATATGCCATAATAAAGGAGTAATGGTTTCATCTTGGTCAATACTATTGTAAACAAATTATGAGAGAATAAGACTAAGATTAGTAATAACTTGATTGTAATGATCAGTCAAGAGGTTAGAGAGGATATTGATAATAGATAAAAGAAGTGCCAAGTAAGAAAATGAATGTTTTAAAAAAAGTGAAGTTGACAGAATTATATGCTTTATTCATATTTTATAAAAGTAGCAAAATGTCTTTATGATTGCAAGTAGCATCTTTAATAAAATTATTGAGAATATGAATGGGGAATGAAATGTTATTATTAGGAAGTACAATATAATTGAAGGGTGAAAGAATAGGATTAGAAGAAAATATGGTACTTAGTCTGTTTATAAGAATTTTGGTATATAATTTATGAATATGTTCAGCAAGACGAATAGGTCAAGTAAGATTAAGATTACCATCAAAGAAGTTATATTTGGAAATAGGATAAATTCTACTATGTTTCTATTATTTAGAAATTCTATTTTCAAAAAGATAATGATTGAAAAGACTAGTAATAGCAGAAATGCATTCAGAACTAATATGTTTGAACATTTTATAACTAATATCTATAGGACCACAGGCTTTGTTGTTAGGAAGTTGTGAAAGAGTTTGAGAAAGTTCTTCATTTGTAATAGGAAAATTCAGAGGTTAATACTAGGTTGAGTTGTATAAAAGAATGAAAGATAATGTTGTTACCAGAAATTATTAAAAAGAGTTTCATTAATAGGTCTAAATGCAGTCCAGTTATGAAAATGTAACTGAACATGCTGTTTAATAACTAATGGATTAGTTATAAACTTATTAAACAATTTTATATTGAAGAAATGAACAAGTTGATAGTAGTGATTAAGGATGTTAATAATAGTTTGTATAGATTTATTATAAGAATAATATATCTTTTGTTAATAGTTTTGTTAATTTGTTGTTGAGATAAGAGAGAGTTTTCAAGGTGATAAGTATAAAAAAGTTGTTTTCAGATAGACTAAGCATATTGAAGCCATAGTTGAGTACAAAATGGGATGATGGAGTTGAGTGGTTGAAGGTTACATTATGACTGTTTGTTAATTTGGAAGATATTTTGATTAATATTAGAGATGTCAGAATATTGGATGAGTTTTTTAACAAGTTTAATAGTGTGACCAAGTTTTTTAAAAGATAAATATAATAGAATAATGTGAGGTGAGTATTGATGATTGTAGCTATGTTTATAAAAGACTTTACTAGTGATGGTGTGAGTAGTATAGTAATAATAGAGTATTGAATATTGTGCCAAATTGATTTAATACTTTTATCAGTTTCACTATTAATAGGAGTTTTGTATAATAAGAATTGTTGTGATAAGAAGTCTGCAAAGGATTTCTAATTCTCTATAGACATAACCTGTAGTTAAAGATGCGATGACTAATACTAATATATTTATATAAGGGTTTGTTATAGGCATATAGGAATGTTCATGTAGAGATAAGAATTAAATAATCACTGAAAGTTGAGATTTGACTGTTATTAAGACTGTAAGAAAAAAGAAATTGTATATTAAATTGGTCAGTCCAAATATAATCAATATGACAACTATTAGTGTTATTAGTCAGATAGAATATTTGTTGTTAAAGTGAGCTCCAATATTATACATATTGGTGTTATTAAGAAATAATAGGATGAATATGAAGTTGAAAAACTTGTTGAATCCAGTTAATAATAGTATTTTGAATTTGATTTTAGTAGACCTATCAGTTAATGACAGGTATATTGAGATAATATGAAGTTTGATATTACTTTATAAGAAGATATCAAATGCTATAGCACTTTCAAGATGGGTATGAATACTGTGAATATGAGGTTTAAGATTATTGCAGATCATGATAGCAGTGTCTTTAATAAAAATAGGAGAGTTAGGCCAATAATAGATAAAAAAGCTATTATTTCAAAAAAAGAGATTAGTTTTATCAGAAATTTTAATTTCTGTAATACTTATAATAGATATATTATAGTTAAAACAATAATCTTATCATGTTTTTTTTTTGCTAAGTTATTAAAGTCTCTAATATTATGTCTAACAATAGTTAGATTGAGATGATATAGGGTTGAGTTGAATGAAAATAAAAGATGATTACAATTAAGAGTTGAAGAATGATTATCAAAAAATAAATCAGATGAGATAGAGATGAGATTAAAGAAATTAGATCTGAGAGAATGATTATAAAATATAAGAAAAAGATATAAGATAATAACAATATAATCTGATAAGAGAGTATCATTAAGAAGATATATATAGGTTTTATTATAAGATAAATTAACAGAACAGGTAATACTAGATACAGGTTTGTTATTGTTATATTTATTAATATGTTGAATTAGGATTCAAATAATTTGACCATGAAGGAAAAGTGATAAATGGTAATAAAGAAGGAATTTGTTAAATCATATATAAAGATTATAGGAGATTAAAGATATTATAAATGATCTTTCAAAATTGTCTTTTACAAAATCGATTATCATATGCTCAGCTCTTATAGTTATGCAAGATATCATAGTTTGTCCTATACATTGGGTCTGATCATCATTATTCTAACCTTTCATATAAATAGACTTGTTTATTTGTTTACTTATATCATTCTTTTTATTAACAACAATGATTATATCTTTTAATAAAATGATGACTGCTTCAATATGTATTATAGAAGACAAGGAACTTAAAAAGGAGATTGTAAAAAAAGTGAATCAAGAATAGAAACAAGTTGGAAATCAAGATTGAATTTTTTTGCTAAAAATTTCTCAACTGTTAGATAAACAGTATCATTAAAATATTTAATAATTTGTAAATAAATTAATTTTTGATTTTTGATAATATCAAAGTAGGTAATGATTTGAATAAAAAATTTAGTATTAATGATGTTTTTGGTTAGAATAAGTTTGATCTTTTTATAACTCAAATATAAAAAAAAAACTTATTTTTTTGATAAAAAAATATTATTTGAAGATTTATAAGAACAAGTAATATCAACAACTTTTTTAGTTGAAGAAGATGAAAGCATTAAGGAAGATGTTGAAATATAAGAAACTGAATATAGCAATTTAAAAATTACAAAAAGATTTGATATTGAAAATATAATATATTTAAATGATGAAATATTTCAAAATAATATTGATAATGAAAAATCACAAAATGGTAATGCTGCAAATTTGATGAATCTGATGATAACAAATTAATGATTAATAATAAAATAGGGCAAGGAGTGTTTGATTTGATCTTATAGATTTAGCAGTTAATTTGATAAAAGAATGAAACTATGAAAATGATAGTTTAAATAGAACAGATAAGTATATTAATGATAATTCATATATTGATAATAATTCAAATATCATAGATAATAATATTAGTGAAAATTTAAGTGTTGTAGAAAATGATAATGAGAATTCAGAATCATTACCTATAGCATTTTGAAAAATCTGCTGCAAGAATTTGAAAAGATAGCTTGTAAAAGTTTAAAAAAATAATAAATAAAATTAATAATATGGGTCAATTTGTGCTCATTGCTAGGTGAATGAGTAAGCGAATACTTTACCTATACCTTTGTAAGTGGTCTAGCCAAACTTAATTTTGCTTCTAACTTTGAATAATTAAATATATTATTTTTTAATATAAGTTTGTTTTTAATTTTACTTATCATAGTCTCACTATTTAACTCATATCTGCCAATTTACGGAATATACCAAATTTTTGGAATTAAATTAGTACCCAAAATAAATTATACTTATACCCAAAGTTTATAACGATGCGGATTTTTTGAAAACGCATTGTAATTTATAAGTCTAATGCCAATCATCAGGGGTTTTGTTAATCGTCAGGGGTTTCGTCAATCGTTAGGAGTTTCATCAATTGCCAAGGGTTTCGTCAGACGAAACTATGACGAAACTCTTTCATCATCGCAAAAATCATTTCATCAGGCATCATTAGTTTATACCAAAATTTCACCTGGAATTTTTTTATTAATGCTCATAAGGTAGTTTTATAAGCGAAATTTTGAGTTATAAACAATTTTTAAAGAAACTAATACACCTGATCATGTAATATTAATGGCTTACGATATACCCCTGTACAAACATTCTGTGCACAAATAGAAATTGTTTTTATTAAAAATATATCAAAAATGGCCATTTTGCATGAAAATTGGATCATCCGCTATACTTCAAACAATAAAAATGACTTTTAAAAAGGCGTTGTTATTTAAAGAACATACTGAAATGACCCTGTCAGGTAAATTTTGTTTGCTTGTTCAAGAGTTATTTAGTCAAAATTTTATGTTTTCACTATTTACGCTACAACAATGTCCTCGTTAATATTAAAAAAAATTTGATTAATAATTTTAACTATTGTGAGCCCGATTTTTTGGGAATCACGAGGGCCCGAATCGAGCGACGATCCCTACCCGATTCGAAGTCATGTGAAAAGTAACGTTACTTCTATTTCTTTTACTTATGAGATAAATGAGATATTGGCCTTTTATCAAATATAATTAGGATATAACGGATATTGCATTTATATTAGAAATTAATTACCAATGTAAATAAAAGTTTTATTATAAATAAAGGCCTTTCGCCCAGGGGGAAAGTAACTACGATACCCCAAGTCAATACATTTGCTAAATAAACTTAAGTATCGGATCCATATTGAAAGTAAAACTATATCCTAACCCAAACTGAAAACTATCGTTAAACCCATCGTCATCAACTATCGTTCGCCGTAAATCACGTGACCAAACGTTAACGCAAGAGAAGGACTCCAACCCGATTCGACGTTTCGTAACCCCAGGTCAAAGAAGTAAAGAGAGGACAAGAGAAGGCAAGGGTTAATAGAAGAATAGGTTAAAGGAAGGACTCAAAGAAGAGAAGAATAGTACTTACCTACGGATAAACCACCCAGCCAAATCTAACACGCCTATTTCGACTTAGCCGCCGTAGGTTACACGATGATTGGAAAGAATTAGCGACAGACTCGCCGATTTACCGGCTTACAATAGGTATAACGAATATGCTATATAACGGAATATTTTGGTCAACCCAGATTTCTGCTATATCCTTAGTTGACAGTATATGATAAAAAGGACGTTTGGGCCTCTATCTCTTGTTGATTGGAATGATATACCCTTGATTGGTTAAACGAACTTTCGTTAATAAAATTTGTCTTTATGATTTACTGAACTTTCATTACGCGTTTTATTCATTGGAATAATCATTACAATTGATTGGTTAACCTATTTTTTTACTAATAAAAATCTACTCTCAGACCCGTTTGACAGATTGATTAAGATGTTTGGGAACATCCTGAACGTAATAAATAATATTGATGAAAAAGAAAATTTTTATTTAGATTTAGTTAATTTCATAAAATATTTTACATTTGTGGGCCTCACAGCAAAAGGTGATGGGCAAAAAAAATTTTTTTGTAAAAATCTTATTTTTGCAAAAATTAGGTTATTTAGAACACAGCATCAAAAACTACAGAAAAAAATTTTTTTGCCCATCACACCTTTTGCTGCCCCCTTAATTAACTAAGCAAAAACTTTTCTTTCACAATTTTACCCTAACCCTAAACCCTAACTTCAACCCTAGCCTAATTATAACTTTTTGCCTTTATCCTAATGGTTTACTTAATTTGACTCCTAATAGTGCTATAGTGTGTATCATTTAACATTTTCCAATTTAATAAAATAAACCTATTTATTGGTACGTTTGCGACCCCAAGTATCCCAAATTGGAGAGTAATCTATATCTGAATTTTCGGGAGGATTTAACATATCAAGGAATTTATTTTTATTCTTTTCTAATATATCATTTAATACTTCTTCTGACGGTTCCCTTTTTACACCAACACAAAAATTATTAGGAATAAAAATTTTATCTGGATCATATTTATCTCTTAATTCACATAGTTCTGTATATTTATCTTCACTGTCATAATAACGATCGTGAAAATAGTCGAGATTTAAGTCATAAGTAGCCCATAATAAACGCATGTCCTTATCACAGAATATAGGATTAGTTACTGAAATGCATTTATCATTTTCTCTTTGAAATTCACTTGCTAACTGAAAATTCTCCTTTTCGAAAAATACATCAAAGGAAACTCCAAAATTCATAGTTCGCCAACTGATAGATATGTCATTTTGGTGTTCTATGCCTTTCTTATAAAATGCGGAATTTTTACCACCAAAATATTTGTATTGTGCTGAAACTTTTAAATCTTGACATATTGCTAAATTAACACGATTTGTAGCCCAATCAGACCAATTAGTCTCAATTAATTTTTCTGCTTCCCAATCGGAAAAATATCCACGCTTTATATACTGCAATTGAAATTCTCTTCTGATAAGCGTAATCCAATCTCTAACTAACAGTGAAATTTTAGTATAACCGTCATTTAAAATATTCAATTCTTTTGTAACAGCTTTTATCTTATTAATTGGAGAAGATTTTTCGTCGTACCCACTATATTGATAAGCATGTATGATGATTAAAGCTGGCCAAATAACATTTTTATTACCACGATTAGTATAACTTTGTTGATTGTATGTTTCATCATAAGATGGATCATCATTATCTGCTTCCTCGTCTTTAATACCTGTGTCAGATATGATTGAAACACAATAATCAAAATCATCTTCATCGACTGTTGTTAACATTATATCCAAGAAATCTTTAAATGTTTTAGGATGGTATGGGCAAACTGCAAACAATCCGTAAGAATTTGGATAATCTTCATCATGTTCAACCCTAAGCCTAACGTGTGTGATTACACCGAAATTACCTGGACTACCGCCAATAACTGCACGAAATAATTCGTCACCTTTTTTAATCCATTTTTCTATATATTTTTCTTCAGTTTCATCATAAGATATAATCCTAATAGCTATAATATAATCTGCTAGAAGTCCAAAACCTCTCGCAAGTTGTCCATAGCCACCAGTTTGTACATGTCCACCCAAACCTACATATTCACATTGACCTATTGGTAAGAAACATCCGTTATCTTGCAATTTTTTTGCAAAATCATCCAAAATATAACTAATTCCTATTTCTAATTCAGTTTTATCTTCGTTCCATTCAAATTTTTTATACGTATTAGACAAATCTAATTGTATGTTATTACGGTCAGTAGAAGATGCACCGGTATATTGATGTCCACCCGTACGAATGGCAATTTTTGATTTGTTATCTTTAGCGTAATTTAATGCTGTATAAATATCATCAAAATCGTCTTCGTTATCTGCTTTCGGATACAATATGTATTTAGGGTTCATATCTTTAATATTACGAAATGAACTTGTAGCATATTGATAAGATATATGAAAATAATCATTACGATCTTGTTTATAAAAAAATATATCTCCTTTGAAATTTTCTAAACCTTTAGGGTTTTTTTTCTTTAAAGGTTGTTGAAACATTTTAATTTTTATGATAACAAATAATTTAGGTTATTTATATTAACTAGAACGATTAAATTTAGTATATATAGTGCTACGGGCTTCTAGGACGGGCCCGGTACACCACCAAGAAAAAGAAGAAATGTGACGAATTGTCACTAGAAGAAGTGAAATACCGCGTAACGTTCCTCAACGTATTCAGAGGCGGAACGATTTGGCTCAGGTCTAGGGCAATAGTTGAGGAATGTTACGAGAAGGATTCAGGTGGGATAAGTAAATGGCTTTAATTTCTTTGATTTGTTCTTTTTTTATTTGTATACGATTTTTAAAAGCTTTATTAATTATTTTTTGTAGGGCGGGAATTTTACACTTTGACAAGAGAAAACCAAACCCGTATTTATAAGAAAGTTTACAGGAAGAAAGAAGGGGAATTTCGAACATTTCTTTATGGATTTCATTAACATAAGCCTTGTTACCATTTCTAACACCTTTTTCCCTTTTACAGACTAGCCTTCGTTCCAATAGTATTTTATTTTATTATTTTTCATTTAGTTTCACTCCTCCAGTGACGACAATCAACCCAACATATGACGTACATGACCACATACTTTACCTGACAAGGTAATATTACTTTGACAGGCGTCAATTGGGATCCAACGGGCTTGCTGCAAGGGGGTCGTCGTTCGATTCCTCTTGGTCACACGACAGCTTTTTCGTGTGACGTTCGTGGGTTAGTTGCGACAGTTTTTCAAGGTCCTAGAGTCGGGTTTGCCTATAACAATAGTATACTATATATTCAGTAAATTTTATTCGAAGTATAAAAAAACTGAAACTAACTACTTTATTTACACATAATACTTTACTGAAGTCGATAATTTAAGACATATTTATTTTCAATGTGCAGAAAATTTAAAAACCACCATCTTCAGTTTATGTAACGTAGCACAGTTGAAATCAAATATTTCTTAAATTATCTATTTATTATCGTTACGTACGAACTTCATTGATGCTAAAAATTTAGGAAATATACGTAGTATACAGTTAACCTTGATACGTATAACGAATCGCGATAAACCGAAAGTGTTATTATAACGAATATTTTCCAGTGAAAATTTTTTTAGTTTAAAATTGCTTCGATATAATGAATTTCAATTATAAAACCTTGGTATGTCGAATTACGAAGTAATTTACAATTTATCTATAAGAAAATTACCTTGATATAACAAATACCTTGATAAAGCGAAATATTTATTTATAGTATAATTAAACTTTCGTGTAACCCTATCAATTAGATTCTTATATACTGTAAACTTAAATTTTCTGTTTGGTGCATAATCAAGTGCATAATCAAATAGCACATTGGAAATCAAATATTTCTTTAATTATCGATTCAAGAAAGTATTTATGTACACTCCCCTGGCATAACCTGATGCATAAGGTTATTATTACACATGGATCTTCACATATTGAGATAAGCCAAATGCGTAATTACAAAATCGCTGTTAATATTTAGGTTAGGCCATTCAAAGTTGATTAGTTGTCCTCAGATTTCTACCCCCAAAATAAACATATATATTTTGAACTAATCAAAATTCAGATGAGCAGTAGTAATGACTTATTAAATTGGCCGAAGTGGTTTTTCAAAGTGCTCATAAGTAACACAAAACTGATTTGTTGCTAAATGCGATTATAAATCTGTAATTGATTACAAAGCTAAACTTGCACCCAATTCTTTTTGAACAGTACCACCAGTATCTATAATAGTATCTATGCGTTGTGATGGTGAAAATGGTATACTACTAAAAACTAGTCTAGCGAGGGTCGCTACTATACAAAAACCTAACACAAGAACAATTAAATCTAATATAATCTTTTTCTCTACACCCTAATTAGTAGGCTTCGATCGATGCGTGGATCGATTTGGTCTGAGAGTAGGATGTTTTGTAATAGTGTGACAGTTACAGGACTGGTGGTAAAACAACCTATTACTTTTGAACTTGAATTTGTTGGTAACGCTAACACTGATTGCTAGTGATAGGTAAATCGCAATTTTTTAAAAATCTCTCACGGGATTCATGTATGGACGTCTTGCCGATCACCATGCAGTCACCATGCAGATTCACTTCGTGCATGACTATATGTTTTACTTATTAATAATGCATGGTGATTGGCAAAATGCGCATTTTGCCCATTTTTAGATCCATGGAATATAGTAGATAGTGATAGGCAACGCACGGGATCTGCGCGGGATCTGCGCGGAATCCGGCGCGGGACCTGCGCGGAATCCCGCGCGAGATGCGAGATTTTTTTTTAAATTTTTTATATAGGATTTTTAATGAGATTATTTGGCCTGCATTAGCATATCATCTGGCCTGCATTAAATATCATCTGACCTGCGTTAACATTAATTGATACACATAAAATTAATGCGCATGCATTTCTACGTAGAACTTTTATTTGTTTATAATTATATAGCATAGCGGGCTTTCGTTGTAATTGGCTAATTTTTGGTAGATCATTCCGTGACTTTCCTGAATTCTTATTGGCTGATCAAATAATATATATAATAATATCAAATCGTAAAAATGGGTCTTTTATATTGTATGTCGAGATCGTTAGGGTACTTATTACATTAATTTTGGTATATGCCGCAAAGAGAAAACAAAGCTTCTAACTTTGAATTATTACTTTGCTTGGCTTAGAAAACTGATCATAAGTGTGCCCCCATTAAACGAAGCAGTTTTCGAAATTTTGAAGGTATTTTTAACCTTTTATCTTTTCTATTTAAATTTCGTTGTGTTTTGTTATATAATTCATGTTTTTCTAACCGCATTAACATCAATTTCCTGTGTTAATTGTGCATACTATTAATTTTTTTGCACAAAATACAAGTAATAGTTTGTCTTTCAGCAACACTCATAAAATTAAAACTAATTGTAATCTTAGAATACACGGCATATATCATAGACATTGGTTGTGTTTTATGTGTGGTATTGAAAATGTGAAACTGATGCTATAAACGTGAAATGAATGTTAAAAGTAATTGTATTGAGATTGTAAAATATTGGGAATAAATTATGTAATTTATAACATTTATGTAAGAATTATATAAAATTTTTTTTAAATTAAAATTAATAAAAAATATTAACTTTAACAATATAACTAAGATGGATAACAATAAAATGTAATAAGAACTATAATAATATGGTATTTATTATTAAAGAAAGTAACAGGTTATATTAAATAAATAAATGCATTGTGATTTAATTAAAAAAATCAAAAATATATATTTAATAAATTCAATTCAAATTGAAAAAAATAATTATAAATTTGCTAAAAATAAAAGCTAAACTTTATAAATTTCAATACAAAATAGTTTTTTAAAATAATACATCAAATAAATACATTAAAAATAACTAATCAAATATATTATGCTGCAATATATAATTTCTTTTGCAATTATACTCAAATTACGCATTTGCTAAAACAACTATAGAATTTTCAAAAATTTGATTAATATTATTAGGATCTATAATATTATCTAAAAGAAAATCTATATCACTGGTATTATCATGAGCATTAGTATTATTATCTATATTAGAATTATCTTTAATATTAGAATCATTATTAATAGCATTAACATTATTAATATTAGTAATATTAGTTTTAACAATATTCAATTCTTTATATTTTTATTTTCTTATCTCTTACAAAATGAATTCAAAATTTTCTGGTAATTCTTACAATTTTTTCTAATTTTATTTATAAGATATTTAATACAATGATGGCAATGACTTTCTAATTTAAATAAAAAATATTCATAATAATAAGTGTGTTTACAGACAAAAATACAACTTATATTCTGAGAATCTTTACAACTTTCTAAATTATTAAATTAATCTTTTTATAAAAAGTATGCTGTATTCCAAATCATTGGCAACACTTTAACATCAACTTGAGTTCCAAGTATTGGAAGTTTATACAACTTGGATTTCAAATATGTATTAAATAATAATCTGTTAAGATTCTGATAAACACTTGTAAAAAGTTTAAAAAAAGATAAGCAATACATTTTTCAAAATATTTTTGCTTTTTGCTGAATATCTAATATTATAGTTTTCAGAAAACACATTTATAAAAGAATTCTTGTCACATGTTTAATTGATTATTCACACTTGTCAAATAATTTGGTTTGTATTGTTTAACTTCTAAATCTGCTATTGAAGCAAGTTATAAAAGTTCTCTACATAATAATTATTGAATACATAAATATAATCTGTTAGAATTCAAGAAATAAGAGAGTTTGTACTAATCTAATAAAAAATATTACTTAAAAATATTATTAGTAACTTATTATAATAATTATATCAATATTAATAAAACATAACTCATATATACAAAACATGGTTTTCTTGTATGCAGACCAATTTCTACTATAAAATAAGTTAGCTTAAAAATCTAAAACTAATATTAAAATATTATTTAACAAGTTAATAAGATATCAGAGTTTTGAATTTTTAGACTTTTTAAATTTCTAAAGAATTGTTGAATAAATCAATCCTAAAATACCAATTTTAATAACAAGTTAATTTTATAAGATTTTGGTTTTTGTGTTAAAACCTTATTATAATTATATACTTTATAAAAAAGCTTATTAAAAATATATGTAAAAGCCTAATTATCAGAACAATATGTTTAATTTTTTTGGTATTTTAGAAAAATCACTAGTATAAATATAATAAGTTTTAGTTTTTTGTATATATAATTGCTCTGGATAGTCTATAGGTGTTATTAATATTTGTGTTTTTAAATAATTTTTTATCTCTTAAATGTTTAGCAGATAATCAAAAGCATTCAAAAAATCTTCAGTAAAATAAAAAGATCTATGTTTCAAATTTATTAATTTAGTATTATTTATACTTTGGTTGGTTTATGTTGCTTAATTTTGTCATTATAACAATAAATTAAAACTATTTATTTGCTTATTATATGTTTTTGGTTCATATTTCAAATTATTAAAT